CTTATAGTCATTTTCTACTACATTAAAAAAACGAAAGAAAACACTCTATAGCTGAAGAGTACCCAATAGCAATATTTTGTATATGTATCTGTATGCTTTAAAAAAATCGCACAGTTTCATTTTGGATTGATTTCAGCCCACTCCCAACGAAATGCCCTCCAGTGGCACAGCGGTATGTCTGCAGACTTACAACGCTTGAAACCGGGTTTTGATACCCGTGGTGGGCAGAGCACAGATAGCCCATTGTGTAGCGCTTTGTGCTTAACTTCAAACAAAACAAAAAACCCAACGAAATATTTAATGTTTGAGAATACCCTGAATTTTTTTTTTCTGAGTATAATATGACACTTGTAGTCCCCTAGGAAGTCTTATAATAGTTTTGAAAAAATATCGCTAATTTATTCTTCGAAGTTGAATTCAATTGTAGTTTTATTGATCTTAGCCAATCATTGTTTCTTCACATCGATTGTCATGGTGTAATGTTATTGTTTATATCTCAGCTTCAAGAAGTCATAGATGACCGATCTAAATACATCGTGATAGCCCTCTTTCAGTTCGTTTGAACTGTAACAGCAATGATACAGCGGTTGGCGTAGAGGTTGGAACAAAATGATAAAAGTTTATTTATTACAACAACAATTGTTATAGTGTAAACGCCTTTTCTAAGCTGGCAAAGCATGGCTATAATTAACTATACTTGTCACGAGATTGTATTGAATAAAATGCGTCCTCGGGCAATGGATATTACACATAAAGCGAAGTTGAAATTGCTTATAAATATCTCGTAATAGATAAGACGACAGTGAAGATCCGAAAACGTGCCACGAGGCCGCCATCTTGGAGAGGTCAATGTTCCAGATGCGTCGCATCTCTCTCTTCATACATTAGATAATGATGCGTTTCTTTAGAAAGATAATCATAGGTCGCTTCTCACACTTTACTCACCATGAGTCATGTGGTTACTGTTCTATTTTTAGTTTCATCATTATCCTGAAAAATGAATATATTATTCACAAATACAAACGATGTGGTGTAAGCCTTTAGTTACACCATTTGTTAGTAAGTTGGCTCTTTACATAAATTATTTTAAAATGGTGAATATAAGAAAAGCTACGATATCTCATAGGTCTGAATCTTTTTAGATCTTGTATTCGTTTCTCTTTTCACACTCATTATTATAATATTTTTATATTTTGTGTCCCTCTTTGGCATTGTAGTGTATCTCTTATTTGATTTCTTTACTGTGATTATCTCTTGCATTGTTACAATAAGAAACATTGAAAAAGAAATGCCTTTCGAATTGTTGATTAATTCTGTTAATTATTTCTATTCTTAATATGTACTCTTCCATCACCCCTTAATTAATCTTACTCTGTTCTAATGTTGTAACCTGTAGTGGGTGAAGTTATTATGGGATACAGTATTTGCTATTTTGTCTCACTATGTTACGTCATTTATTTCACTCTATATGCACACAGTAACATATTGTGTCTTGATAAGCCTACTTCGAAACAATAGAAATCACCTAGGAAAGACGTCAGATGTTTCAAGTTTGTTTGTTTTAACGCAAGGCTACACAACAGGCTATCAGCACTCTGTCCTTCATGAGGAATCGAGACCCGGATTTTAACGTTGAAAGTCCGTAAACTTACTGCTTACACTGGGACGGAAAGGCGGTAGCCAAATCAATCTGTAATAATAATAATTATGTAATTATTCGAACAGTAACAATAGCGTTCAATCACTTTAAGAATTTGGCACCCTAATAATGTCTATTTTTATTTACATGTTTACGGATTTAATTCCATAACCAACAACCATATTTTTTTTGTATATTTTTAAATGAACACATTAACTGGGTAACTTGTGTTTCTTCAGTGAATGTTAAATACAATAAGTTATATATTTTATACAAAACATGTCCTGTTTTCAATAATACTCCACCATTAGTTTATCATAGTCAAGACGTATATTTCACAGGAGTCTGCAGGATTTATTCAACCCTATGTATTGTTGCGTCAGCGAGGTCACGTGACTAGTATCACGCCACGTCCTTCTCGAACCTTCGTGAAATATCGGGAGACTACTAGCATTAGTTTGTCATAGTCAAGACGTATATTTCACAGGAGTCTACATGATTTATTCAACCCTGTGTATCATCATGAAAATATGCATATCTTATAGGGTGTATTGCATTTTGTGCAGCCTATAATATTTACTGAATCCTGATCAACATCTTGTACAAGATTCTGGTATGGTCATGTGTGATTATAAAAGATCCCGCACAAGATTTAAATCAGGAAAGAAACACAATATGTAACATGTGCAACATTGCACAGAATAGTAATCCATATACCACATTCAAATTCATGAATTACATGGAACAGGGAATGAAATTAAAACAAAATTCAATAAGTTATGGCAATGGAGATCTGTGATTACCACGCTGCACTGTATTATATTATACTACATTGTACAATACATTATTAGATTACTGATATTAATATCATGTATGTTTAACTTTAAATATCAAATTAGAAACAGCGATGAAACAAATTCGTCAACACAGTGAGAAGTTATAACTCCCATACCAAAATATGAAAATGATGCCTTAACATAGATCTACATATAATATTTCCAGCTTTAATTCTTCACGAACTATTCCCCACCCCAGTAGCACAGCAGTAAGTGTGCGGACTTACAACACTAAAAACCAAGTTTCGATAGCCGTGGTGGGCTCAACACAGATAGTCCACGGAGTAGCTTTGTGCTTAATTACAAACAAACAAATTTAATTGTAGAGCCCCCAGTGGCACATCTGTGGACTTACAACGCTAGAAACGTGGTTTCGATACTTATGGTGGGCAGAGCACAGCTAGCCCATTGTGGAGCTTTGTACTTAACTTCAAACAAACAAACTTAATTGAAGAAAACAGCCACACCATGAATCAACACCTTGGGGCACCAAGATACCTATATTAGACTGTGAAGCAATATCCGGTCATATGACCTCCTTGTTCTATACTACACACACACACACACACATATATACTCATGTATATCTGTAAACTACTTGTACATGAGGGTGACAATATCTTGTCAAAACGTCGTTATAATAAAGTTTTTGATTACCAAGTCAAGCCATCTCAAAACTTTTATTTAATATAATACTTTGTAACTATTAGAACTCTAACTTTTTTTTTGTCTCCTCCACGTTCTCATGCCCCCATCCCCGCTTTATTGACCATCGTTTACAATTTTGTAATCTCGCATAAATGTAGAAGTATAAATTTAAAGGTCTTAGTACTGTTGCGTCAGCGAGGTCACGTGACTAGTGTCACGCCACCTGCTTTCTAGAACTATCCCGTTCCTTCGGGAGTGCTCTAGCATTTACTAGATTGGGGGGGGGGGGGGGTCTGGTATATATAAGATGGTCACGGCGTGACGTG